CATTTGAGAATCAGGCTTTTTTCCAGAATCTTGAAGCAGCAGCATCTTAAAGAAGAAAGCGGCTGAAAAGCCATCAGACTCTCATCTGAAAGCCAGAGTGACTGGGATTCTCCCCCTCCTTTTTGCTACAGCATCCTTATTAACCAGCTGAGTGCCCAGTTTCTCTTGACGTCCAGCCACCCAGAGGGCATGTGTTGGTACTTGTGGGTTAGCCACCTAGCCAACCACCTGATTTCCTCTTTCAATGGAAGTGAGCCTCAGAGGGAGCACGGGGGTCCTCAGGACCCCTGAGCCTGGGCTCTGCCCAGAACAGGCACCCCAGGGGCTCCTTGGCATCCCAGGTTTACTTTGCATGCTGTTCTCAGGTCCTTCTTGCCTTGTGCAGGGAGGGCCATTAGGACCCCCTCTGACATGGAGAAATGGACCTCAGCCAGGTATGGTTCTGCCCTGGCAGGTACTTGCACAGGACACCCCACTCCACTGTGCTGGTTTTGTAGCTCTTTCTAGTGTTTTGACAGCTAAGTTGGTTTCCCTTCCCACTCAAGAAATGACGAACATAGAATCTGCCCAGACTCAAAGCAATTTTTTAACTATTTCCCAGACTTCTTTTAAAAAAAAAAAAGATACCAGAGAGAAAGGAGGGGGGTCATTTACTCACACATTACTAAAGGAACAGTCATGTAGTATCACTTGGAGCCTTTGAAGTTCATGGTTTGTTCCTACTTCAAAATGACGAGAAGCCAGCAGGCCTTACAGACACTGTTCCTGATTGTCAAGGGACCTTCAGGATTCCCCTGAAACAACCCCAGTGACTATTGTCTGAGCCCCACCCCTATACTGAAGAAGGGACTTGAACACTTTTCAAAGGAATGGAAAATGAAAAGGCTGAATTCAGAAGGTTCAAGAAGTGAATTTGTTTCCTGGATGGAATAAAACACTGGACAGCAGAAAGAACATGGGAAGAATATTGTCCATTTGTCCTAGAGACAGTACTTTGCTCTCTCAAATAACTCTTTGGGGCTAAAAATTTATCATCGGGAGGCAGGTCATTTAGGTTTTCAAAAACTAAAACAGTCAAGTTATTAATATTTGAAAAAGATCTACTGTGTAGTGCATAGAACATTATTTCTTAGAATTTAATACTCCTATCTAAATTAACATCATAGTGGGCTCCATAATAGAGATTTATGAGATACCCATCATATGAGAAATCCGATTATGGAGATCTCCATAGGTCTGTGTGCTTAATTGTGACTGTTTTGATGGGTCTAAACCAATTAGGAGCCCTGGTATTTTTCCCCTGTTTCTTGGCTCAGAATTCTCCTTTTTCCATTTACCCTTAAAATCAGTGACCCATTAGTCTTCTTCTAAATGTTGCAGGATAGAGAGATTAGAAAACGCTGTCCTGCTCATTGTAGCTGTCTGTGTGTAGGCCATTCCTCTCCTCAGCAAGGCCAGAGGACGGAACAATTTGTCATTTTTCTTTGTAAATCATTTTGAGAGTTCAGCTGTAGTTGATCTGAGAAGTTAAGCATAAGTTTAGGTGGGAGTAGACATCTTTTTATCATCCATTCAAGCCCAAAGGTTTAAAGAAAAAAGTGATCGAAATGAGAATGGCTTCCCCTGTTTGCAGTGGCGAACAAAGCAGCGGACATCCCAGTGAAACTTGGCTTGATGAGAGTTTTTGCCAGCTTGGTAAGACTTGATCAATCATCTCCCCGTAACCTTCAGCTGGCAGATCTTCATTCCCTCTGGCATTCTGACAGCCACGCAGGGATATCTGTCAGCACATTGACTGAACGGTCAGGACGTGGCGTCCATGGGAAGGTGGAGGTCGTGGGCAATGACCACCCTCTTCTGCCTTCAGCCAGACCCACGTGGCGGCAGAACCCAATGGAGCTGTAACTGCCCAGGAATCTCTTCAGGAATCAGTCATACAGGGAAAAAATCTCACTAGAATTCTCAGGACAAAGGGCTTGTTTGCTTTCTAATTTTCTTTGTTATAAGAGTATGCAAACGTCTGATGTTCTCACCATCACCAAACCTGAATGAGGAGGGACCTATAAGACCATCAAGTTCATTCCTACCCAATAAGAATTCCACTTTCACCAGGGGAGCCAAACTCAACTAGAAATGGGGGCCCCCAAATCCTGCGTGAGAATCCCTGTGGGCCAGGTGGCGATGTAGAAAAACACACATTAACATCACCTACATGTTTGTATTTGTACTTATACATTTGTGCAATTATAGTTTAATCTAGTTCTTCAGCACTGGAGCATGTGCATGTGTGCATACGTGCCTTGAAAATTACAAAGCGCTGTCTAAATGTGAGGGAGGATCACTTGGTCTCTGGTGTGGTATTTGAGAGTAAGGGCTTGAGGGTGCACCTCACCCTGTCAAGGATAACATTTCTTAAGTGATGCGTTGTCCTAAACCAGGGACACGGGGGAGCGGGAATCCCTGAGGATTCACTCCATCATTCTGTCAGGCAGAATGAGAATGGGAAAGCCACGCCATGTGGACGAGGCCCCGTGCCTGGACTCCGGGCCCAAGGTTGCTGCTGAATACCCCCGTGGCTTCGGACTAGTCACTCCCCCTCTCCAGGTCCGTTTCCTCCTCTGTGAAGTACGGGGTCTGGCCTGGAGGGTCCCCAAGTCTCCTTCCACTTCGGACCTGAATGGCCCGGTCGGGCCGTTTCCTAGCCGTGTGACTTCAGGCCGGTCCTTTTCTCTCAGAAGCCCCCGACAGCTGTAGCGTCGTTTGGACGAGTCGCTTCAGCTGGCGGTCTCAGTCTGAGTGTGCCACGGCCGGGGGAGGGCTGAGTCGTAACAAAATGATGGCTGTAGAGGAACTGAAAGATCGTGTGCCACACCTGAGAAATACCTTAAGCAGCGTTACACGGAAATGACTTAGGGCCATGTTGATGCGCACGTGGCCGTGTGCCCCACACTGACCAGCCGGGCAGTCAGCCCAGCCACGCTGCAGGAGTCGTCGTCTGTGGAAGAGGCTCTGCCAGGGCAGAGGGGCATAGGGAAGTTTATAGCAACAAAGGACCAAATGAGAAATGGCCCCTGCCTTCAGGAGCTCTGGACCACCCCCATAATAGAGGCTAGCTCTGCCTGGGGAGTGGGTGATTCCTAAAGAGCCCCAACACCTTCCATGGAAACCGCAACACTTACTGGCCACGCACTTCCTGGGCAGGAGGCAGTGCAAGGCTGGCGAGGAAGTCAGAGCCCCTCTAGGCCCAGTGACCTGGCGAGTAGGGGTCAGAGTGGAGCCTGCACCCCAGAGCTCCTGGCTCCGCACCCGGCCCTGCCGCCTCTCTGAAGTCAGCCCAGTGAACTGCTATTTGATGGCGTCTTTGCTTCTATATACCTGTGGCCCTATAGCTAGCTGGTCCTGAGGCACTTGGCAGCTTATATACATAAATATGTATAAATACCCTAAATGAGAGAGATGCTTCTGTCCCAGGAGACTCCCTGGGCTTGGTCATCTCTGACAAAATATCCATTTGAATGGAAATCAGAGGGTGAGACTCCTCAGAACTGGGGTCCCTTTGCATCCTCCTAAGAAAGTGATGCATTTTCTCTTTTTAAATAACATTGACTAGAAAATGCATCGGGTGAATGCTGCTTTTCTGTGTGACTGTGATAAACAGGCAATGTAAACACCGCCGGGGGTGTTGCTGCGAAGACTTTGATATTCATGAAGTAGGCCGGCCCCTCAGGCTGAGGCGGAGAGATGGGAATGAGTGGATTCAGCTGCTTAGCTGGCCGGGAAGGCCGAAGTCTGGCTTTTAGCCACAATCTCCCGTCGTTGGCCGTATTAGCAGAAGGCCGGGATGCTAAGCGTCTGTGCGTTGCTCGTTGTTTTCCAGGGGTGGGGGGAGCCTTTTTGCACCTGTGAGCCAGACCTTTCTCTACCACTGTAAGGGGTCCACAGTGCTTTCTCCGTAACAGCTGTGAGGTAGGCAGTGCAAGAGTATTCTCCCTGTTTTGCTGGTGAGGACCCTGAGCCCCCACAGGATTCAGTGATTTCTCCAAGGGGAGCTGGCTCCTCGATGACGTGAAGCCAGGCTGTTAGGGTCACAGAGAATGCTGCCCTTTCTGACCTTAGGGCGTCAGAGGGTCAGAGACTGAGGATGGGAAGGGACCTCAGAGACCCTGTAGTCTCACCCCTCATTTTATAGATGGGGAAGCTGGGGCCCAGGGAGGGGACTTCTCAAAGGCTCAAGGTGCTCGGATATCACAGGCAGGATTTGAACCCAGGACTCTCCCCATGGCAGAGAATCTCTCGGCGATCATCCTCTCTTTGTTTGCCTCTGATCCTTAGGCAGGAGATAAATGGCCCGTCTCTAGACCTCCATCCAGGTCCTTTCTGGCTTGGCCTGCGTTCTGATACAAAGCACTTGATAGGCCGGTCGCTCCCATGCCCTAGTGAAGTTATCAGGAGCGATCTTACATGGGCCAGAATGCTGTGCTGGGCAGGAGTCATGGGACTGAGGAGTCTACAAACGGGGCTACAGATGCTTATTAGATGCCTGCTGTATGCACGGGCTAGGCAGAGGAAGGTAAAAAACCACCCTGTTGGGTGGCCCCTCTCTGAAAAACTCAGAGAAAGTCCGAGGGTGACCGAGGATGAGAAGGCCCAGAGGAGGGAGTGGCAATCTCTCAGTGGAGGGAGTTTTCCCACAAACGAGCCTAGGGCTGTGAACACTGCCCCTCGCCTGACCCATTGTGGCTCTCTCTCTTCTGGCTGAGGATGCCTTTACCCCCCTAGAGACAGAGTGAGGGGGGGCTTCTCCGTTATGACTCCGTTATGCTCTTTGCCTTGGAGGCTTCCAGGAGACCCATTGGAAATAGCCTTCAGCCTCGAGTTCCCCAGCCCCTGCCAGAAAGGGCTGACTTAATGATTCATGAGTTAACCCATATCTGTGTGTTTTCAAAAGTATGATTTTGAAACTGCCGAGATAGATCTAATCCCTTCTTTTCTTTTTCCAGATTTGCAAAAGCAAAGCTAAAGAGTCCCAACAGTACTATCACAGTTTGGCTGTCCGGCAGAGCCTGGCCATTCATTTTAATATCCAGCAGGACTGTGGCCATTTCCTGGCTGAAGTCCCCGTCCGTCTTCTTCCCTGGGAAGACCCCAATGCCCCTGCGAAGGAAGATGAAGAAACAGATGAAGAGGAGGAAGAGAGAACTGAGCGGCAGAACAGAGACACGTCCCCTGGCGCGGAGTCGGCCAGCCAGGGAGGTGCCAGCAAGCAGCGCAGTCATGTGGTGGTCATCACGCGGGAGGTCCCCTACCTCACCGTGGCGGATTTTGTGCGGGAATCCTTAGCCCAGCATGGAAAAAGTCCAGATACGTACGAGCGCCAAGTGTGCCTGCTTCTCTTACAGCTGTGCTCTGGCCTCGAGCACCTCAAACCGTATCACGTCACTCACTGCGACCTGCGGCTGGAGAACCTCCTCCTCATTCCCTGCAAGGCGGGCGGAGGCGTCCAGAAGAGTGAGCCCAGTGAGCCCAGCCCCACCGCTGCTTGTCCAGCGAGACTCATCGTGAGTAATTTCTCCCAGGCCAAGCAGAAGAACCACTTGGTGGACCCAGAGGTCTTTCGGGATCAGTCCCGCCTCGCCCCTGAGATCATCACTGCAACGCAATACAAAAAATGTGATGAGTTCCAGACCGGCATCTTAATCTATGAAATGCTACACCTCCCCAACCCCTTTGATGAGAACCCAGAGCTGAAGGAGAAGGAGTACACCCGTGCTGACCTCCCCCGGATCCCATGCCGTTCCCCCTACTCCTGGGGGCTGCAGCAGCTCGCCAGCTGCCTCCTCAACCCCAACCCTTCGGAGCGGATCCTCATATCCGATGCGAAGGGCATCCTCCAGTGTCTTCTCTGGGGACCCCGCGAGGACCTGTTCCAGACTCTCCCCAGCCTGGCCAGCCCCGGCCAGAGAGCCGCCATCCTCCAGAATTGGCTGGACATCAAGCGGACCCTGCTCATGATCAAGTTTGCGGAGAAGTCTTTGGACAGAGAGTGCGGGGTCAGCCTGGAAGACTGGCTCTGTGCTCAGTATCTGGCCTTCGCCACCACAGACTCACTCGGGTGCATTGTGAGCATCCTTCAACATCGCTAGGGTGCGTGGGATGTTGGTTCCCATCAGCGACCTCTGGTCCTCCCTGCGCACATCCATCCCCGTTCCTCTTTCCCCCAGAAAGTGGGTTACCCATGGCACAGCCAAGGAAAGGAAAGGAAGACTGGCCGTTTTTTCCCATCCCGGAGCAGATGAGGTCCATTGGCATGGTCACCTCCAGCCCTCAGTATGGTGGAGAACAGTCAGTCTTAAGTTTTCTAGAAATTCGTCTGCAAGGATATGCAGTTGTCTTCCACTCGAATATCTCCCAGCCTAATGTTTCTATAAATGTAGATGAATGAAAGGAAAAAAAACCATCCCTAAAGGAACAGTTTCCTTGGGTGTGAATGCGATGAGCTACGATTAAATTCCCCCGTAGCTCTGGACAGTCCCTCACTGAGTTTTCAGCATGTAATATTTTAAATAGCAATATACAAAGTTAGCTGATCCCCATTATCAACCGGTAAGCTCTCCAAATAGGTGATCTTTCTTTTTCTTGTTGAAATATCTGTTTGCTATCCTAAGCACGTAGAGCTGTGATCCTCGCCCTCTTGATAGCCTTCCAGAGGGCCGCATGGTATACGGCAGATGGTGGGGTGGGGCCCAGCCAGGTAAGCCTCACCCCAGGGGCTGGCGAGGGCCAAGACTGCAGAACCGTCCTTCCTTCGCCGCTCCAAAGCATATGTCCTGTGCAGAGGGCGAGCAGAGCCCCCATCCTCCTGTCTCCATCGGCAGCAGGTGCCACGGTGGCCTCCCTGGGATGGGGCTGCCCTGTGCTCCTCCAGGCTGGGAGGGGGAACCAAGTCACAAGTGCCACTTTTGATGAGTGTCAGAGCTGTCAGCTCTGGCAGCCCCACTAACAGTGCCCCGATCACAGTTTGTCCCTATGGCAGTAATTGGCTCGCTCCCTTCTCTCGGCAGCCCCAGACCGCACTCCCCAGCAGAGTGGCTGTCAGCTGAGCTCGGAGATGTATTTAGAGGGAGGGGAGTCAGTGGCCCTCGAGGTGCTGGCCAGGCAGAGGAGGGAGGGGGGCCGCTCTCTGACCTTCTCGCCCCAGTATCGGCCTCTTCTCCATCAGCTTCCTCCCTAGACACGCGGCCCCATACTCAGTATTACTAGGTTTTCCAAATCATGTCTGAAGTCGCTCAGAAGGACCGGTGCTGGGAGCATCTTGGATTTGCCGACGCTGGGTGTCACCAAGCTGATGGCCTTCTTTCTGAGCCTCGTGCTTCTCTCTGATGGATATATGTGCAATTCTTGTATGTATTTTTTAAGCTGTGTCTTACAGTGTTTACGTTGCAACTTCGCCTGAAGCAAGCCCTATGGAATCCCTGCCCTTCCTCTCCTGGCACATAAATGAGCTTCAGATAGGAGTGCTTTTTACATATGTGTGGATGTTTGTATGTTTATTTCATTCAAAACTGTGAGTAATCCGTTTACTTCAGCCTTGAAAACAAATTAGCCACTTTGATCATGTGTGCATGCTGGGACCAGAGACAGGCCCCCGATGCCAAGCAGCCTTGGGGCTCCCAACACCCAAGGAAGGCCCCCAGGGGCTCCGGGGGCCGAGCCCTCAGTTCGTGGGGGCCCGGATTGATTGTGCAGTATTACGTAGCACATTAGCAGCCTTGGAAATATTTCTAAACTTTGGCGATTTTTTTTTAAGCCTTTCATTTGATTCACTGGTGTCTACGAGTGATCAGGAAAGGAGAAGGAGAATGTATTTTATTACAATGTTACCTTTTTTTTTTTCTTTTTAAACAAAAAAAGAGATGTTAAAGAGAGTTGGCTGAAGGTGCACTTCCTTCCGGTGTGTGTCAGTCATCTCCCATGGAAAGCCCCTGTTGAGGGCAGGGGGCATCAGCCCCAGCCCCAACGCAGCCCCAGAGTTTAGAGCTGTAAGTAAGTTGGGGCACATTGGCCCTGGTGCACCTGTGCTCCCCAAAGGCTCCTTCCCGTCCTCCTGCTCCCCTCCCCAAGCTTCAGCTTGTTTATGTACAGGCCCATGATTCCTGGCCTAATTACCCACTATCCTGGCCACCCACGGCCCCAGGCCATTCTGGCAGGCACGTCCTCCAACCCACCTGGCCCTTGGCATTATTGAGACATCCATTCTAGGTGTCACTGGTTTGGGCGACTTGCACCTGGCACATTTTGTAGAGTTTTATGTTTAGTGCACTTGGTCCCTGACCCTTCTTTGACCCTAGCTTTCTCATTTCCTTTCTGTTTGTGTGTGTGATGACTCGGATTCTGGTCGTTCTTTCTAACTCTGTCGTAGAATCGAGCATCTCATCACCAGAAGGTCGGCCACCAGTGGTAGATCCTCGTGGCCCCAAAGAGCCTCGGCCGAGGTGCCCCAAGGCTGGGGCCCCCATGGGGGAAGGGATCATGTGATGGTGAGATCACAGATCCCTGACATGTGATCTGTCTGTCAGTCTCTCCAGCGTGGACACCTTTTTCTGCCTGTCTCCTATTGTGTGGTAGCACTGGGAATACTTAGCACCTCCTCTCGTCTGATGGAATGATCATTGTTTTATTTGTTGGTTATTGGGGTTTAGTTGGTTGGTTTTTGTTTTGCTTTTTCGGGTTGGGGGGAGATGGCTACTCTTTCAAGGGGTAAATGGAGACAGGCCAGACAGGGCCTGAGACTTCCCAGAGATGAAGGACAGAAATTGATTTCCTCTGGGCAGTGCCTTGGGAGGAGAAGAAAGGGATGATTTCTTACAAAGAACCACATCCAGTGATCTTCCGAGAATGTAATTCCAAAATAAAGTATTTAGTCATCTTCGTAATTGTGGCAAATATTTTAAATGTGTTTGAGTTGCAGTAAACATCTTGAATTCCTTCTCCACCTAGAGCAGAGAGCCTGCTCTTGGCCACAGACAGACGCAGGGGCGTCGGGGTATGAGCACCAAAGCCCTTTCAGTTTTCTGAAGTAATGACTACAGTTGGCAGTTGACAGTATTGATTGGAAATAGATTTCTTTTTTTATTTTCCATTGGAATAGTTTAACTCTGTATTCCAGACACTTCCATCTATATCAAGAGAATTGAAAAATCAAGCAGCCTTTTGGACACCATTTAAAGCGAGCGCTTTCATAAAACTAGACAAAGAAAGCCAAATCTCTGGCCTGTTTGGGCCAGCAGGAGAGCAGGACCAGGGCTGCAGCTGCCTGGGCCAGGGACGGGCTGTGTAGCGGGGTGAGTGCCTTGTTAGAATTAAAATCTGCTCTTGAAAGAGAATTACTGCAAAGTCTACCAAAATCCTGAGAAGCCTTAAGCGTTTGGTGGGAGGAAAGCAGCCTTTCAAACAGGTGCTAACTTGGGCCCTAGAGCAATAATGGTGGATCTGGTAGGATAGGGAGAAATAGAAATCTGTGGAAGCCGACAGTGAGATAAGGTCATCAGGAGAGAGCTCCACCCAGCCCTGAGCTTGATTCGAATTCAAAGCCGAGTTCTCTGGCACTGTGTCTGGGGCCATCACTTCAGAAGATGAAGCTGGTAGGTGTGGAGGAACCCTAGGGCCCCAGAGTTATCCAACTGAGCATCAAACACATTATTTAGAGTTTGGGAAAATAAATTTCAATTCAAAAGGAGTAAGGTGAAGCCATCTTTGCTTCACACTCCACATGAGTTGGCGGCCTTGATATTCTAAGTCCAGAGACCTGTGTTGGAGATATTAAAAGAGATCTCTCTCAGAGTTCAGTTTGCAAAAATCTGGTTGGAAATCCCTGGCTCTGAAGAACTTCCAAAGGGCCTCGGGTCAAGCAGAGTGAGCAGGGCAGCAGCAGGCTTCCCAGACCTGAGCCCTATGTCATCATCTGATGCTGGGGAGTCAAGAAACCTTCATTCTCCCTAGGCTTCCCTCTCAGAGCTGCCATTCTGCTCAAACTGTCTCTAAATGAGTTAGCAGGAGCTAAGGAGCCGAGCAAATGATCTGCAAAGTATGGACCTGGCCACAAGAAATAGGATGGGTTTGACATCTTGGCATTTTAAAGGATCCTAAAAGCCTGAGTGGAAGGAGAGGCATTCCTTCCACCCCTTTCTTCTCCATTCCCCTTGCTAATGGATAGTTGCTACCTGTACCTTTACAGAGGGAGAAACAGAGGCTTACAGAGCTGAGTTTTTTTGCCAGGGTCGCACAGGACAGGGGAGTGGAGAGCGTGGGCTTTGTAAGAGTAAGGTGTTAGGAAGTGTCCAAGTCGGAATTGGAACCCAGAGCTTCCTGAAACTGCCACCCCTGCTCCAGGAAGCTGGCTCAGCTTGAGGACTAATGAGTTGTTCCACTTTCTCTCCATCTGGGCTGTTCATTTTACCTCATTCCAGTTAATACTATTCAAGTCCCCAAGTGATCAGCAACCTGGAATTCCAATCGCTGCTCTTAACTGTGCACTGAAATCCAGCTGGCTGCCCTCAGCAGCCCCCAGGGAATGTGGGCGGGCCCCAGAACCCAAAGGGGCTAGGAGGGAGGGACCGCACGACCAAGGCCTTAGGGAGAGAAGATACCAAAGACGTGAAGCCCGTTCACCCTGATGCTTAAGGCAAAGCTTTTGCCTAAGGTAATGCCAGAGGAGGGGAATAGACAGGCATTCCACCTCCACCCCAGAAAAGACCTTTTTTTATTTCTTTTTTTTTTTAATAGCAAAGTCATGTGTTGGACAGAAAGAAGAAAAACCACCACCTCCCTTCCTTTTCCACCCCCCTCCCCTCAAAAAACCCACACTGAGCTGAATGTAAGGTTCCAAGGAACCTGACCTCTCCCCTTCTCCCTTCTCCAGGAAGGGGTAGGCAGGAGCGAAGAAACAACCCGTCTCTTTGACACTGTATTTGAAGGATTTTTTTTTCTTTTTAATGATGGTTTCAGTAGGTGATGTTTTAAAGAATTCTTGGGAGATTTCTTTAATGGATTGTGAATGTTTTTATAAACCTTCCTGCAGAGGTATTTACCACTCATCATTACCATCATGTAATAGTTACTAAGTGCCCAGAAGGAGAAAGGGGCTCGCCAGCTGTCTCACCCTCTTGCCCAGGCCTGTTTGAAATTAAACCCAGTTTGCTGCTACAGCACTGAGGCAGTGTTCTCCATCTGAGCTGCCTGCAATGATCTCAGCCTTCCCACTTCTGGGCACTGCACCACTGAGGACAGCCTCCATGCTATGGGCCAGCCTCTTTACAACCATCCCACCCTCTGTATTTTTTTAATCCAAGGTGGTTTCAGGGATTCAGAGGATGTTGGAAATTTTTTTACATAGAAGAAATATATAGATATATATATAAATATATATTACTATGAACTTTATTGTATTTCAGAAAATCCACTTTGCCCTTCTTGTGTGTGTGTGTGTGTGTGTGTGTGTGCGTGTGTATGTGTGTGTGAGGGGAGGAGAGGGGAGGGTTGGAGTGCGTGTGTACCCACACACAGCATATATGCTTGAATGTTGACCTACCCAAAGGTTTCAGGGTAGACTCTTTGAAAGGACAACTCACACTGCTTATTCAAACATGAGTAGGCATCCCTTCCCTTGCCGGTTTCAGAAGGTTCTATGTCTGAGAGTGCTGGGTTAGGATTCTCTGCTGTTGCCACACAGGGCATCAGGGCCCTAAGACCACCTGTTAAAAGAGACTCTTTGGCTGTCTCTGGGTTTTGTCCTTGGAATTTTCTTCCCAGTGACTCTTCCAAGCCTACCCCTCGCTCTGTGGAAGCTTTCTGTTTGGAAAGCTTGTCTCATTTGCTTTATCTGAAGCTTCATCTCTCTGGTTACCCATTTTATAGATGTATAAATATATAAACTAAACCTCCCTCTGTCATTGGGGGGCACTTCTATGCTCTGGTTTGCTGTGGTACTTTGCTGTGGACGCTGTGGCATTCATGTTACTGTGTAAATAAACTCGTTTTATTACACTGAAACCAGGTGTGGAGTTGTTATCCTTGCCAAGATTTCCTTCCCTTTCACGCTTCCACGGTGGGGAGGGGATGGTTGGTCTGCAGAAAGGATTGTTCCCCCGAGGATACATCAAGCTGGCTGAAGGATCTTCATTAATTTCCAGGGTGTCTGGATGGCAGAGAGAGTTGGATTGAAACCTGGCCTTTCCTTCTCGGAACAAAAAAATTTTTGGAAGACATTTCAGTCTGTGACACCAAAGGATGGCTATCCTATATTCGATCCAGTGCCACCTTACGGAATTCTCTGCCCTGACTCATAAAATGTCAGAGCTAGGAGAGATCATAGGCTGTTACAGCCGGACAGGATTTCGAGGTTGTTGAATCCAATCCCTTTTACAGATGAAATAGAGGGGGAATATCCTATCCGAGGTCACACAATTAGTAAATGGCAGATCTAGAATCCTAGACCAAGAAAATCCATTACCTAGCATATATTAAGCACCAACTGTGTGTCAGGCACTGTGTAAGCGTTGGGGATACAAAAAAAAAAAATCCCCTGCTCTCAGGGAGGGGAGAGAAGAGGTTTTGCCTTGGGATGAAAGAGCTTCGTGGAGGTCCAAACTCAACTGCCTCCTCTCTCCCAGCCTTAGTTTCCTCCTCTAACCAGTGAAGGAGGTTGGACAAGATGAGCACAGGATCACACATGGAGACCTGGAAGGGACCAGAGGCCCTCATTTTCCAGATGATGATTCAGGCACGAGGAGGGGAGCAGAGTTACCCAAGGTTAGACACTAAGTGTCAGAAACTGGATTTGAACTTGGGGTCCTCCGCTATTCCACACCAATCTAGGACGTCCTTTCTAGCTCTGACATGCTAGGATGCTGTTTTTCTGAGGGTGAAAGACCTTCATCTCCATACTAAGTCTCGCATTTTCTCTTCATCCCCTCCTTAGCCCTTAAGTCCCAATACTACAAAAAGAAATTACAGCGAATTAATTGCAGGCTTTGTGTGTGATAGAATTCTTTTCAGCTCTCCTTGGTGCTGAAGGTTTTTTTGTATGTGCTGCTAGTGCCCTCTGGTGGCCAGCTTGCCTAAGTTCAGGCCTTCTCTAGCCGGGCTGAACCAGCCTTGATGAGATCAAGTAAGGGTGTCAGCATCGGGGTGAGAGGACATAGGTGCTCCCTGGCCTTCATCACCCGCCGAATTCAGTGCAGACTCAACTCCAGGCCCCTCCACCTTGAAGCTGTGTGACCTTGAACAGGTCCTTTCCTCTCTGGGCCTTGGTTCCCTCTCAAATCAGAAGGTTGAATTCTTTGATTTCTCAGCTCCCTCACCTCTTGCTACAATGCTATTTCTGACTCACTGCATGTGATCATAGGATATAGAGCAGGGAAGGACTGTAGGTGACATCAGTTTAGCCCCCTCATATTACAGGTGAGGAAACTGAGGCACAATACAGACAAGAGCTGCTTAAGCTAGTAAGTAACAGAGCCAGTGGTCAGAACCAAATCTGACTGAAGACCAGATGAGATGATGATTGCAAAGCACTTAGCACAGTGCCTGGCACAAAGCAGTCACTACATAAATGTTAGCTATTACTAAGAACCCAGGGTTCATTCCACTGTACCATGATAGCGTCAATGACAGAGATAACAGAGCTGGGCTCAGGAGAAAAGATTCAACGGTTGCTGACCGTATCTACAGATACAAATCTGTTTGTGCAGAATGAATAAAAGTACATGCATTTAGAGCCACCTGTAGTTCCACATGACAGCAAGACTGCGGCAGGATCTGCCTTTTTAGCTCTGTTCTTCATTGACAATCGCCCCATCATTGGCAGGCTCTGTTTTCCCTAAATAAAGAATTAGTGTTGGGCCCTAATCCTCTACAGTTTCAGAAATACTCAGCATACCTGTGCCTCCAACAGTTTCATGAGAAATCATCTTGTTGCTGTTATTGACCATATCTGTCATGGCTTTTTTTAAATATCCCAAGCCCTTTGCACAGTGACCAACACACAGTAGTCACTTAAATGCTTGTTGGCTTGATTAGAGCTTTTCAGAGAGAGGCAAGCCAAAACATAAATCCGTGTTCTCCGTGACTCCAAACTGGGACCACTTTGGGGACTGTGATATTCACACTATGGGTTAGAAGGGTGGGAGGCCTTTGTTTTTATCATTATAACCATGGATCTGCAAATAAGCCACCCTGGGGCAGTAGAAACCATAACAACCCTGGTGTTGTTTGCTAGTGGGACTGAGCTTTCCCTTCTTAGCTATTGGCAATTGCAAGCTGGCTGTTCAGGGAAGATAAGCCAGGCCGCTAAAAAGAGAAGTAGGCAATTTGAGGGTTGGGACCCAGCAGAAATTGAGCCTAGCTAGAACTGAGTCAACAATCCAACAGTTTATTGGTCCAAATGACTGACTTGGGGATGATGCAGAAATGCTGGGCAGCTGATTGGCTGTGACCGTTAGGGTTTCAGTCATGGGAAGGGTCAATTGAGAGGGAAGGTACATCAGAACCCCTGAATTATGCTAGTCTTAATATCTCAATAATAATAATAATAGCATTTATGTAGTACTTTGGGGCTGGCAAAGCCTTTATAAAGCATATTTTATCCTTATAACCTTGGACAGTAGGTGCTATTAGTTTCTCCATTTCACAGTTGAGGAAACTGAGGCAGAGGTTAAGTGATTTACCCAGGGTCACACAGCTACCCAGTGTCTGAAGTACATTCTAACTGGTTTCTTTCTGACCAGACCCAGTACTTTATCCACTGGGAAATCAAATTGTCTCTTGCAAAATTAGAGCAAATAGCTGTGAATAAACACAGAATTTAGAACCAGAAAGGATATACATACACACACATATACACATATATCTATGTGTGTATGTATATATATATATATATATGTGTCTGTGTGTATATCTTTATCTATTACATAATAGATGATATATACTATAGTACATATGATGGTACATTACAGTGTACTTTCCACTGTAGTATATATATAATATATATATATACACACCATATATCATATATAACATGTATAATATAGTGTATATATAACATTATATACATATATACATAATATGTGTATATATATCCTTATATTATTAGAGATTATTCAGTTCCTACCTCTCATTTGACAGAGGCAGAATCCAAAAGAGAGAAAGTAACCTGCCCAAAGTCTTACAGCTAGTATGTGGCAGAATCAGGATTCACCTGACCCCAAATCCAGGGCCCTTGCTGTCAATGGGAAGAGTGGTCAGTTGTTAGTGATGATAGCACACAATCTGTAGGCTAGGTGGTGCAGTGGATAGAGTGCTGGGCTTAGAATGAGGAAGATTCATCTTCCTGGGTTCAAATCCATCCTCAAACACTTGCTAGTTCTGTGACCCTGGGCAAGTCATTTAACCCTGATTGCCTCAGTTTCCTCATCTGTAAAATGAATTGGAGAAAGAAATGGCAAACCACTCCAGTATCTCTGCCAAGAAAGCCCCAGATGGGGTCACAAAGAGTTGGACAGAAACAACTGAACAACAACAAAGCTTTACAAAGTTCTTTCCTCGTAACAACCCTACCATTAATGAAAATATTATTGTCCCCTTTTCAGATGAGGAAACTAAGGCTAAAGGAGAGTATGTGACTTGCCCACAGTCACAGTTTGAGAGTGGCAGAGTCTGGATTTGAACCCAAATCTGACTCCAAGACCAATGTGCTTTCCACTACAAGCCTGCCAGCTGCTAAGCAGCCTGCCTTGTATCCACCCAGTGGCACCAGGAGGCTCCATCCCAGAAATAAGAGTAGGCTCCAGTTCAGGGCTTCCCAGGTGAGAGTCAACAAGCCAAAAGCAGCTGCAGGCTCTCTTCAGTGGCTGGGCTGCTGGAGGAACTCGAGAACCCCTTTGTCCTTCTGCTCTTAGTGAGGCAGGAGAGAGAAATCCTATCCAGGCCCTCCCTGGAACCTCAGAATCTGGTCCCTATTCAGTGAAGGACAAGTTCCTGTGAATTTCATTAAGCTGCTCATTACACGCCTGCCTGGGAGAGAGTCATTTTCCTCTTTGCCTGTCTGCTGCCCCCACCGTGATTGGTCATTGACATTTGATTCGGGCTGGAGGCCAGGCACTCTCCCATTCTCACGAAGTCTGTCACTGCTTCACTGGAGTGACTGCTTTTAACCTCAGCCGCCTAGAGTCTATTAATTTCATACCTGGAATTAGTGGGCATTCGGTAGCTCTTTGAGAGCCTGGGGAAGCTCATCTCAATCTACTTTCGAAGGTTCACAATCCCTTCTGCCTTCCCTCAGAGGCCAAGCAAATTACACCTCCTTCCAAATCAGCCTTCGCTACATGCTAGAATGGTAGCTATGCGCGCGGAAGAAACCGCCTCGCTGCCCAACGAGGTGGGACTCTCAGCTGACAGTTCAGAAATTGTCATTAAGAGCTGCTCCAGGCAATTGCTGCTGACACCGAAAATACTCTTTTATTTTCCATAGGAGGGTACAAAGCTGAAGCTGCCAAGACCAGATTCTCCAAAATGGGCACACCCCAGAGAAGATGTGGGCTGCCTGGCCCGCCCTGCCTTCTTTTCTCAGATAGAGCACCGCCTTTGAATCAGGGTTCTAGGTTGAAGTCTGGCTCTGTCCATTGAGGGGCTGCTGGCTACCCATCTGCAGGCAGTTCTGGGGCGATAGACAAAACACTGACGTGTGTCAGAAGATCTGAATTCGAAGTCATCCCAGCTCCATGACTCACCTACCATAGGATCTTAGGCTTAGCAGAGTGCCTGGCACTTGGGAGGCACTTAGTAAATATTCATTGATTAATTGGGCAAAATCACCATCTCATCTGTTCCTCATTTTCCTGGGTGTCTTGCGTAAGACAGATAAAAACAATACCTACCCCTCAGAGGTATTGTGATGATACAGTGTAATAATGGAGTGTCAGGAAAATGCTATATAAATATAAGCTATTTCTATTTGTCATCCTTTCAACAGACATATATTGAGTGTCTGCCTC